TATCAAAAAAAGAGATCAGATTTGTCTGGCATGACCTGTTTCTCTGAGTTTATTCATGTATCTGCAGCATATTGATTTTTTCACTGGGTGAGTGGCAAATGTCATAATGGTCTGTTAGGTGTGTGTGAATGCTTCTCTCCATATTTCAAGATTCAGTGAACAAATTTCAGGAAACAGAGTGCTAGGTTATGTGCTTGACAGTAACAGAGAAAGGCTGTAGCAAACTTGGCCCCTGATGTTTGTTCAGAAAAGACTCGGGTAAGATTCCTCTTTAATATTGATTGGGATTCTCATGATATTACTAATGCAGGACACAGGTAGCAGCTGGTGTGGGGTTGCCACAGAGTGTACCTAATGTGGTCTTATGATGCATGTACGGTACCTGGCTTACAGCTGTTGGTTACGTTCACACATTACATTGTAAGGTGTCCATGTGCACCTAAAAATGTAATCCAGTTATAAGTTTTCAGGGAGACAGCTATGTCACTCTGATTCACCTTTAAAAGGAAAAGTGGTCTCTGTGTGTCGTGTGGGTGAAGGAATAGATTGGATCTATAGCACCTTTGAGATGAACTGATACATTTAAGCATAAGCTTTGTGGACTCTATGAAAGCCTATACTAAAATATATCCATTAGCCTTATATGTACTGCTAGATCTGTGTCCTTTTCCTCCTCTAGTTATAAGTGCTATACCTAGTCTTTTTGTATCCTCGTGCTCTTTTGATGTTTCCTGCAATGAACATAGAAAGTGAGAAGGGCAGATTTGAATTCCCTAAACATATCCTGGACAGAGTTTAGCAGCAGTGTGTGTATCACAAACATGACTGCTGCCACATAAAGTTCAGAGTGGCTCAAGGTCTGGAAACAGGTGGACTCTGTTACTTGGTGATTACTAAAATTGTTAGGAACGTGTGCCCATCTCTTTCCCTCTCCCTCCCTTTCTCATCCCCTCCATACTCACACTTGCACCCAATTCCTTCTTTTCCATTCTCCACTTTTTCATGTGGCCTCCCACTTTATACCTTTAATGCTGCATCCTCCCCTTTTCAAGTTTGCATTTCTTGGTTGGCTTTCATGTTCTTCGGTTTTCTAACTCAACCTTACTGTTTTGGCCAGGGAACATTGAGAACACTGAGAAACTGCAGTACAGCAATGAGCGCCTCTATAAGTTTACCGTGACAGCCTATGACTGTGGCAAGAAACGGGCCGCTGATGATGCTGAGGTGGAGATTCAAGTGAAGCCCACCTGTAAACCCAGTTGGCAAGGTACGAAGACCTTTCCATGGGCACATTTCCTTCCTTTTCATCCCTTTACTTCCCCAAACTGCTCTGTGAACCCTTTGATATTCATTTTTGAGTGTTCTCCCCTCCTTACTTTACCTGTTGCCCTTCCACCCTAAATTACGTGGCCTGATACATATGTACATACTTGCACCTAACAGAAAAATGAGGTGGTGGCATACAGATGTTTCATAAAAGTGTGCACTATCTTTTCTCCAGAGTCTGAGAGAAGAAGGAATGCCTTTGAAGATGGCACCCATCATACATTTTTTAAAATGCTTTTTTTTTAACATAAATATGCTACTTGAGCTTAATTGAAAACTCCCTTTTAATAAAGTGAAAGGAATTAGTTATGTGATTAACTGAATGAGTCAATCAGCTAAATGTCTCAAACTTAATAACATAAATTCAGATTGCAAACTCTTTGGATCAGGGACCTGATTTTGTGACTTAAGTCAATCCGAAATTACCATGTACATTGGTAGCAGTGCAGAAATAATAATAGCTGAAGTAGTGGTGATGATGACAAAAAAAACCCCCAATATTTTGCTGTAAATCTTTGCTTTATTTTTTACTTTTCTATTTGTTTAATGCTATAATTTCATCTTTGTTTTCATCTGAAGTGCAATTTACAGATGGTTGATGGCAAGAAAACACTTGAGAATTCAGGGTGGGGCAGGCCTGTTCTTAAATATACCCAATTCCTCATTACATAACACCCATGCATTTTTAAGATAGTTTGCTGGAGTAATTTTTATAACTGATAATAACTAAAGAGATCTTTCTGTACACCTGAGGCCCCTGGCATAACCAAGGCCCTCCACAGCTGGACAGATGTCATCCACTGTCCCTATAAGGCAGCATTAGCTTTGGCCCCAGGTTCGACACGTGGTCTGTAGCTCTCCCACTTCCCCTCCTCCTCCTCCTCCTCCTCTATTTATTTGTTTCCTGTGTGTCCCCCCCTCCAAAATTGGGACTTAAAGCGGCTTACAATTTATAATAATAATAATTATAATAAATAATTTTATTTCTACCCCGTCCCTCTGAGCTCAGTTGAGGTGGCTAACAAAAATTAAAATTACAAATGATATAATACATCCCAATATCCGCCCCCCCCTTAAAACAGTATTAAATTTAAAAGAACAATACAATTAAAACATTAAAAAGAGAACATTAAAATAGAATTACAGTGATCCCTCTACAGTTGCTGGGGTTAAGGGAGAAGGACCCCCATGAATGTGGAAAAACCGCAAATAAAACACACACTGTTCTTTTTACCTAAGAGAACACCTCTAGGAATTTCCAGGTCCTCTAATGCAACTCTGTGGTCAACATCTGCCAGTCATTGATAATAGAATCATGCT